TTCTCTATCTATATATATATATCTATATATATATATATATATATATATATATGAAAATGATAAAATGAGATGGTGAGTTCAAATCTTATTGTGAGCTAGCCCAAAAAGCTACTCGAAATGATGATTGACGCCTTCCATCGTGATTTACACTCATCATGATCTATATGTAGAAAAAAATTATATCATTTTAAAATTTTTAACCATATTGTTTTAGCTATGTGTAGAACAGACGACTATTCTAGCTGCCTGAAAAGTTAACACATCTAACTAGTTTGATTTATATTCTAGAAGACTCTAAGTTATATGAAAATTTTACCATATATATTTGATGATGTGTTGAACAAGTTGTATGGTGTTGATCATGAATTTGATAAGTCAATTAGTCTAGCTCATAATAAGATTTGGGTTCACAATCTCACAATATCATTACTCTCTCTCTTAACTTTACTAATTCAAAAAAACCCCTAACTTGATTTTGATGGAAAGTCCTCAGCTTAACCTTCGTCCCATTTCACGGATGGTTGTTAGTTTTTCTCAAACTACAGTTGTGTTTGACAAATCCTTAACACTAGTCTCCCAACTTGACTCAGTTTTGAATTTGTTTTTTATTAGTAAAAACTAGTCAGTTCTGGACTATTTTTTCTTAGACCACAACAAGAGCCTAAAACTGGCTTCTTTTATCGTTATTATTATTATTATCATCATCTAAGTGCGGATCAAGAAAGAATTAGTTTACTTCAAACGAGGACCATGACCAATCCTAGCCCATTTTTGAAGAATTTGCGAACCAGACCATATGAATTTTCTTTTATGAAGCTTTCTTGTCATACGCGGACCATACGGTTAAAAGATTGCTTCAACAGAAAGGCTTGCACCTTTCATGCCGTGATCATCATGGAACGACGAAAACGATGATGATGGAATTGCGTAATGCAGGGATCTCATCCTCTATTAAGAAGCTTGATGAGAGATACCAGACAGACAATAATCCTTGTGTCATGTTAGCCAACAGAAGCTTGTTTCTTCGACTAAAATCATGTTGCCTCCGATGATAAAGTCCCTTCTCTTTGGAACATAAGAACACATTTGTGGGTCATAATCTTTTTGCCTTGTCCGTAACTTTATACTGTAAAGGACGTAGCCAAATATGATGATTATAAATCATACCAAAAGGGTCCATCTCCATTCTGTAGCTCCATGACTTCACTTAACCTTTTAGAGATGCCAGTGGTTCATATGATGAGCTGTGAAAAGAGAAGGCAAACCCATGCAAGGTTTCATACTCATGAGGTCTCTTAGAGGAGAAGCATGACATGACAAAAAGAGAAGTTAACAACCTAACAGGCAAACAAAAGGGCGAAGAAGAAGGGGGAAAAAAAAAGATGTACATGCCCCCTCCTCCAGGTCCTTTGTTTAACTGAGGTATACTTCCCTACAGCAATATAAGGAAAATCCACAGCACGGTGACATAAGGATATTTGCCAAAAAAGTACATAAAGCTAAGGTCGATATGACTAGAGTTGAAAATGAATCAAGCTGCCGCATCAACAACAAACGGCATCGTATAGCAACAGTCTGCAAGATCTGTATCGACACATCGTTGTAATAAGAACAAAAATGGACACTAAGCCATATAATACAACTCGATAATTTGTGTTCAACGCGCTTATGGAAATAGCATTTTGTTCCACAAGCGAAAAGTGTTCATTGTCCAACCACACGCGCCAGTTAAGATACGATGCTAGATATCTGTTGGAAAAAAAAATGCCCATCATTGGATCACCGCACTGGCCTCCAAATCCACTGATCTACGGGGAGAGTTATCTTTGATGCATCATTATGGATTGTGACCCTAGGATACTTTTCTTAATTTATGGGGCTTTTACAGTTGAACCATTATCGGGGTGGAACCATTATTTCGACAACAATACAAAGTCTACAGTGTAGAAATAAGGCCGAGTATCTCAAGATCAGAGGCTGAGATAATTCGAGCTATAATCAGTCAAGGGAAAGCCCACTCAGGATATGGGCACTCATAGCTCCAATCTGGTCCAGTGTACCGGACACAATGCAGCCACAAGCCTTCTTCATCTCCATCATAACTGTTGCAGAAGCATTGTAACTTTAGAGTCGGGGTAAAATCAGTGGTAAGGATAAAAAAGGAACGAGAAACAAAAATAAAATATAATCAATATCAGTAATCACTCTTGAGTGACAAAACAACATAATCAACTCGTCCGCTTCATCCCTAATTGATTGACTCCGAATATTAGTTTTGAAGTTCTGACAAATTCAGTATCTCTTCCAAAATCCCAAACCAAAAATTCAATTTTTGGGTTTTTTGTTGGGTTGAGCGAAAAGTTAGATACAGGGCCCACATTCTCTTGCTTACCAAAATCTGCAAGAAGAGTGAAATTTAACCACTTTCCTAAGCAAATTTTCCATTAAGGGCCTGATTTGTTGGTCCAAATAGTGAAGGAAGTGGCCAAAAAAAAAGGACAAGCAAAATTCCCTATTTCCCCCACAATCTGTCGTTTGGCTTGCCAAAATAAAAAAGGAAGGAGGGAGAGAAAGCAAGTGCCAGGTAGGATTTGGAGGGGTGTTTTCCGATCCCAGAAGCCCGACGTCAGAGAAAAAGACGCGATAGTTTCCTCGCGTGCATACGGCCAACAGAAAGAGAGGGGTGGGCGCGGGGGGGGGGGGGGGGGGGCGGCTAGGGTTTTCAGCATCTCTGGTCTCTCTCTCTCTCGCCTGCCTCAATCTCATCACCTCTCTCTATCTCCTGCCTCTAATCCCTCTTTACCTATTCTCTCCAGTTTTCGTTTTGAGAGAATTCTTGATGTGGGGTCCACATTTTTCATTTACCCGTAAGGGACGCCATGGAAAAAAAATTGGCTACAAGAAAAAAGGTACTGTTTCTTTCGCCTTCAAAAGACTGTTTCCATTTTTTTTTAGTGCTGCCTTTGCTGACAAAAGAAGGAGATTTCAGAAAAAAACATAGTAAACTATTCAGAATATTAAATGTTCATGTCAAACCAAACAATTGGAGGGCCAAACTTCAAAAGGATTAGCTATTTGGTGCTCCAAGATGGATTCTCAAATCTCTTACATCGGATAAACAATTCAGACTGGCCAAAAGCATAGGAGGATTTACAAAATGATCAGTTTGTGTAGGCTGCACTTAGGTGGTAATATACAAAGATAGGATACTACAACTTCCAAATCATTGACAAATTAAACCGACCATTAAAATGTGGAAAACCCAGAGACTACATAAAAGAAAAATTTTAGTTATAAGTCGTCTTAATTGCAAATAAAATGTAAGAAACCAACTTAAATATGTGAAAATTGTTTGTTGCTTGCATGTATTGGCCACGTAATGGAGCTGAGGTTCATCAGCCAAAAGGACATCAAGCTGAATGGGAAAAAGTATATGCATGGCTCATGCTGAGGAAATTTTGTGTGCATAATTTTGTTTGGAAGCAGCTGATAGAAGAACAAAAAAGGATCCCATCAGAAAAAAGAAGGTATCTCAGTTTGTTACGAGGTGGTGAGGGAGGAGCTGAAGCTGAAACTTCCCAATTCAAGAAATGGGAACATATTCACCAATTTTTTCTGTATATTTGCAAATAAACAAACTGGCCATATAGTACATGACGAAGTAACTTGAGGATTGAAATAATGTGATTTATACTATATTAAATTAGAATGATATGAGAAAAGACAAGCAATTTTGTAGCCGAGGAAATGAGAACATTACCCTACAGGAGCCAAACCAGGACAGTTGGTGCACATAGGATCAATGCTGAATTCATCACTATTGGCAGCTGAACCAGGTGTTTGAGGTGGCATATCCATGTATATCGAGGCAGCTCTATCCGCACCAGATCCAAATGTAGAACGACGTACAACATCCTTGGAGAGATAGAGGATGTCATTGCCTATTGGATGACCTGTATATTGTAGATGGACACGTATCTGCACAATTTGTAGATGAAAGAAAATATTAAGCCTTTTGAAAGGTCGAATATGAGAACAGAAATAGGCACAATAAGATTGCTTTTTGAACCTTCATAGGTAAGAGGTAATCTTGGATATGAAAGTCCCAAAGAGATGCCAGAGATCAAATTTAACTATCCCAAGCAAGACAGTATAATTTTCAATAAGATTCCTTTTTTTATTTAAATGTATAGAGGAAAACAGAATTTTGTTTGATTATGGAAAGAACTCCTTAATAATAACCCCTTCCACCATGCCTGTATCTGTAGAGATATTAACCCATGAATTTTAGAAGATAAGCAAGGGAGAAGAAACATTTCACTTTTATGTAGTCCCTGACCTCCTAGCACAGTTTCATTAACATGGCTTTAATGATGAACTTTAGAAGATAAACGAAATTTCTAGTTCTTCTTAAGGTCATATGAAATGAAATATTTCTTCTACGAGGGTCAATAACAATATCTGTTAATAATAATAATAATAATAATAATAATAATAATAATAATAATAAGGCATCCTTTTTGTCAATATTTTTTGTTCTACCCTTTGTGAGTCACGATTTCAAGAAATGAAGAAAGCGAAAGGGAGATCACAATATTCACCCCTCTATAACCTTAACCTACAAAGCCCTTGCCACAAACGCACAACCTGAATCCAGACCTGACCCTCCCTAGATGCTGACCACACGACACCGAGCGCCACTTCTTCTCTGTAAAATCCTCTTGACTTGAGCTATGCATCCATACATCAAGAACACTTGTTTTTTTATATTTGTTGTTTCACTTGAGATACTTAATACTTTATTTTCAAGATTAAGTATATATTCAGATTGTAAACCTAAAAAGTTAATCATCAGAGTTTCAAACTCAACCAAAAGAACTATACCAGAAAAACTTTATGCAATATTTTTTTACACTATTTAAATTAGCACCAATTATTAATGTTTAACAATTTTCATACATGAATCCCGTGCACCGGATAATTAATATAAGAAAAACTAAATCATCAATTCGTGATATAATTATGCGTTGAAAATTAGATTAACTTAATTAATTCCTCTTTTCCCAATTGGCATCATACTAATTTGAGTTTATCGTCATTTATTAAGTTGTCTCAAAGAAGTTTTTCACACAATTAATTACTGTGTCAGGCACAAAATGCGTGCTGAGTACTAGTAACACAAAGCTAGTTGATTAAATGCTTGAAGGGATTTTTTATGTTGAGATGTTTCTCTGCTGACATCCCAGTTCCGAGATTTATAATTCTAATATATTAATCCATGATGGAAAAAATATTTCGAAAGACGAAGATTTATGCAAAACTTTAAAAGCTAGAAGAAAAATTCAGTATAATGTAATCTTGAAATCAGAATCAATATAAAATCGAGAAACAGGTTTGAAGTTCTTCAATTGCAAAGAGTTCAGGAAACAGATTTACCACCTGATGAGTTCGCCCAGTTACAGGTTTACATAAGACGATACTATGTTTTCCATTTGTGCTAATCCTCATAAACTTGGTGCATGCCACCTTACCCTTTAAGGGCTGTCTTGAAAATTCCTCATCAATCTACAAGAAAGAAAGGATGTGCTAAAATTTCCCACGGACACAGTAAGCCTTCAAATCTTCTGATTAATTTAGCATATCATATTTATATATTGAAATATAACTTAATGCACGGTAACAGATTTTAGTTCCCAGGTGCGCGAATAATGAAGGAAAAAAAAAGGAAGTCAAGATGTTAAAATAAATCAAGGCATGGGAAGGAAAAGGCGCCACTTACGTGGCTGAAACTTTGAAGCCAAAATAAAAAAAAATAAATAAAAAGCACGTACATAGATACAAAGTGTTGAGTTCATCTGCCTCGAATATGGATGATGGATACCCAAAACCAGAAACGTAAAGAACTTGGGGCAAGGTGTGATGACAGTCTTCTGCTGGGTGATGGTAGACTTTATACATGCAAGAATTTACAATAACGTCAAAACCTTTATCTCAATTGTTTGGGGTTGGCTACATGAATCTTATTCTTCCATTCCATTTTAATATGGGACATCTCCTCCGTTAAATTAATCATAATCAGATTCTTCTTAATTGCTTCTAACCAAGTTCTTTTAGGTCTACATCTAGGTCTCCTAGCCCCATTAATTATAATACTATCACTTGTCCTAACCAGTGCACTCATTTCTTATCCCATCTTTTAGTGTATACCAACAAGAACATCGCAACATTCACATTTTTGCTACACTTATTTTTTACACATATTATTTTTTAATTCCCCAACACTTTGACTCATAAAGCATTGTTGGTCTTGTAACCATCCTATAGAATTTCCCTTTAGTTCCATTAGTATTTTACAGTCACATAAGACTCCCAAAGCACTCCTCCATTTTAACCATCCTGATTTGATTCAATAGATAGCATTATCATCAATCTTACCATCATGCAAAATGATTGATCCTAAATAGCGAAAATTATTACTTTAGATATTTCTTAATCATCAATATGCACTATAGGATCTTTTCTTAGTTTTTATTAAAAACGTACCCCTACTAATTCTAAGAGCTTTAGATTCAAAAGTTAGTCTTCACATTTCTACTTTAGAAATTATACATCTTCTAGTTTTGTCAACTAACACTATATCATCCACAAATAGCATACACCATGGAATTTTATCCTGAATATGCTTAGTAAGTTGGTCAATAATTAATGCAAAAAGATAAGAACTTAAGGCTGACCCTTAGTGTAAGCCTGGTAATAGATAACAGCTTAGTCTCTTTTTCATTAGTTCTTACTCTATCATACATTCCTTTAATCTTATTAATATATACTAGATACATGTTTCTTTTTTAAAATCAACCATATTACCTCTCTAAGTACTCTATTATAAGTTTTTTGTAAATCTATGAAAACCATATGTAGATCTTTTCTCTTCTCTTTATATCTCACTCTCAACCATCTCACAGCATAAAACCAAATTAATTTTCAGATTTACTTGTCTCTGTTCTTAGTTTTTGTCTTAATTACCCTCTCCCAAAGTTCCCAAAGTTTTATAGTATGACTCGTGAGTTTTATACCATGATAATTTGGACAAATTTGTATATCTCATTTATTCTTGTATATGTCGGTATCAAATTATTAATCCTCCACTTATCGGGCTTCAACTTTGTCTCGATAATCTTATTAAATAATTTAGTTAACCATCCTATGCCGATATCTCTAAAACATTTCTAAATTTTAATAGGGATACCGTCCGATCCTATGGCTCTACCATTTTTTATTTCCTTTAAAGCATCTTTAACCTCACTAATTCTAATTTTTCAATAATATCTATAGTGCTTTTATCGTTCACTATATGGTCAAAGTCTCTATGTTGCTCATTTGTTTGGTTATCATTAAACAATTTATGAAAGTAACTCCTCCACCTCTCTTTTATTTCCCTGTCAGTTACTAGAACTCTTTGATTTTCGTTTTAAATACACCTAATATTATCCGAATCCTTACTCTTCCTTTCTGTAATCTTAGCAAGCTTGTATATATATATGTTTTTTCCTCCTTAGATTCTAACTTTTTATAAAAAATTTCATAAGCCTTGTATTTAGTCTCACTAATCGCTTTTTGCTTTCTTCCTTGCCAGCTTATATTTCTCTAAGTTTTCCTTGTTCCTATACTTTTGTCACCCTTTATATAATATTTTTCTCTCTAATCACCTTTTGCACATCCTCATTCCACCATCAACTCTCTTTACCATCTAATCTACAACATTTAGATTCTCCTAATATGTCTTTAGGCACCTTCTTAATACAAGAAGACATGTTATTCCACATAGTATTAGTCTCGTTATTCATATTCCATATATCTTCCTTCATTATCTTATTTTAAAATGTATTAAATTCTCTTATTTTAAGTTTCACTATTTAGTTCTTAGTCTCTTATTTATGTTAGTTTTCCTACTACACTTCTTGATAGACATGTCTAATACCATCAACCTATATTGTGTAATTAAACTCTCTCCTGATATAATTTTATGATCTTTACATGTTAACCTATCGACCCTTCTAATAAAAAAAAATCTATTTGACTACTATTAAATCTACTTTTAAATGTTATTAAGTGTTCATCCCTTTTTCTAAATTGTGTATTTACTATTATCAAATCATACGATGTTACAAACTTTAAAATTGATTCTACCATTTCGTTCTTATCTCTATACCCAAAACCTCCATTTATCCTCTCATATCCGGTATTATCCTTACAAACATCCAATTAAGATCTCCTCCTATAAACAATCTCTCTTAATGGAATTCCTTGTACCAATTCATCTAAGATATCCCAAAATTCCCTTTTACTGCTCTCGGGCAATGCAACTTGAGATGCATAAGCACTAATAATATTAATAACCTCTACTCCTAATACCATTTGTATTAGTATTATTCTATCTCCAATTCTTTTTACATCTACAACACTATCTTTTATTATGTTATCTACAAGGACTCCTACTCCATTTCTATTCTTCAATTTTCCCACATACCAAAGTTTATATCCAGTCTTTTCAATTTCTTAAATTTTTTACCTATCCATTTAGTTTCTTACAAATAAATTATACTTATCTTTCTTCTAAGGATGATATCTACTAATTTCATTGTCTTTCTCGTTAAGTGTACATAAACTGTAAGTAGCTAATCTAATTCTATTCTCTAATAAAAATCTCTTACTATTTCCCATCTTTTACTATTCTAGTCTATGCCTAATACTACTTGGCAACCTATTAGAAGATTGTACATTCTTAGAACACCATTGCTTACTTGTCATTACACCGGGATGTCATCGATGTAACGCGTCGCTTCTGGGGAGTACACTAGCAAGCCACCCTTATTTACTTAACATTGCATTAGAGTAGCATCAATGAAAAGCGTAGCGACAGGGACGCCCCCATATGATATTTTATAGGATTCATTTTCATGTGATCCGACTATGTTTTACGCTAGCCGTCGACTACCTAACGCAACCCTGCTCTTTTATCCTGGCTTGGGAGAGCCAATGCAAGCAATAAAGTAAAGCACAACACTAGCGGAATTTCATAAACAAAGAAAACAACCATACCTCTACTGAGCTCCTTCCTTCTCTTGCATTGAAATTTACATTTGCATTGACAACTTGCTGAAACCATTAAAAAAGACGTCTCAGTATAGTTACTGATGATATGCACAGAAAAGTTACAGTGCGATTTTTTCAATCTCTAATCTTTGTTTCATTCAGGTAAAACAAGGGTGGAAACTCCAGTAACTATTTACAGAGAAGTGAAAGATTAACAGGGGCTACAAATCCACAAACATAATCATGTAGGTAAGGGCACAAAGCAATTATAGTGTACAAACTAAAGATAATCAGACTATGCACCAACCAATTCACGTCCTCCAAGTAAATGGTTGCAAACTTTACAAAAATAATATGCAAAACCTACTACTCTATAACCTATTATTCAAAAGAAACACAACAAGTCATCTATATCCACAATGAATGGAAAAATTGGGGCTAGTTGAGGCAGCTATATCAATATCACTCTAACTATTGTTATCCTTCTTAATTTCTTAATCTTGAAATCTGGCATTCTGACCATATTGTAACTTCTACAGCTAAATAAGAACTCCACAGAGAAACAGTTAGGTCAGGGAATAAAAGATGATTATCCATGAAGGACCGATACACCTTCAATGGCACAGCCTACGGTAACTGAACAGAAAGAATCTTTAAATCACCTAATAAATAATTTTTAACTGATAAATATTCAGGCTACACAGCTCTTTTAATATAAAGGTCTTACATAATGGAGAATATCTAATAGATATTATGTGCTAAAGAGAGGTTCAGTGCTCAAAGTTTTTGATGATCAATGAATACTGTGCAAATTTTAATGAAAAATATTGATAGTGAAAGCTATCCTAATCTGGAGAGATATTCAAATACCTCTCCCTCAGGAAATAACCCAACAACCTTAGCAACATATTCTTTCTGCAATAGGCCACCTTCTATCTGCATTAAAAAGGGAAAACTTAGATCAAATGAAATATTTATCTGAAAATTAAAGGTATTAGTAGCCTCGATTAAAATGTTGAGACTTCTGAGCATCACGTAAAAACTGTCGTCTAAAATACCAAAAGCAGACTGGAAGCACAGGTGAAACATTTTATAATTTATAGCCCAACCTTAAAATCTCTTAGGATATGAACCAGATTGCCCAGAATACATACAGTTCATAGTTCTCCAAGCACAATATACATGTTATGGCTTTGAACTCATCTAATTGCAACTTCGCAGAAATAGGAAAAAAAGATATCTAAGTCTAAAATTTTTAAGAAGAAGATCCCATTCATGATTCATTGTTATTTAGAACCACATTTACTGCTAGTATCAACTAAACCAGGAGTAAGTGCAGCAGCAGCATGAACACAGCACATCAGGAGACATTGACAAGCAGCATATCCTGACACAGTACATACTAAATGGCATGGCAAGCAGTGTCATTTCCCGTATGTACTGATATGCAGACGAGTTCACAATAGAAATGCCAACAGAGCATAGATCATAATCGTAGTTCACGATTTCTCACTTTCATTCCTATTGTCATTAGGCCATATCTCCCTTCTATTATGACAACTCGAACAGGAACGAAAAAGGAAGTATTCTCCCCAAGATATCAGTGTTCATGATCATAAAATATATATTATTTGATAGCTTTGATCTCAACCAGCAAAACTTCTCCATTTAGTTTGATGAAATCATCTTAATATCTCTTAATTGTTTTAAAACACATCCGCCTCACAACCATTTTCATCTTTCAGCACCCGTGTTATCTGCTTGGAACATTCTTCAGTGCCATCACTATATTTCTACTTAAAAGGTTATAAGCACATATACCATTTATAGCCTTAATCACCGACTCAAACTTCTAATAAACTTAAGCACTTATTCACCCATCTCTGAGATGGTTTAAGCAAATGTACAAGACAAATAAAATTCTCTCTTATAGACTATAGTTGACTAATATGTTTGGGTCCTTTTAGGTAAAATAGCAATCCAAACGCTACCTATCAGTTACACTAATATAAGATCCTAACTCAAGCTTCCAGCTAGGATTTTCACATAGCAATCAAGCCTACGCCATCTCACCACTCATGGTTCAAAATGATTGACAAGAATGGCTGATGTAACAAATATTTTGTTAACATGAGAATGTTGAAGGGCTTCAACATTAAATTGCCTACTGTAGCATGAATGGTATGTAACAACAACGATGAGGATTTTTATCCCATATTTTTCGGACCAGCCACATGAAACCTTTTTACACATCAGCTCTATTAAGGATCATCTCCTCTCTCAAATTAGCAATTACCATATTGTTCTTCACTGTGCCACTGTTCTGCTGTACATGGTCCTAAAAATTATAAATTTTTTAATGCATGTTCTCCACGAGTCTCCCCTAATAACTTAAAGTTGTCTACTTACAGAGTTAAAAGTTTTTCAAGTCTTAATAAGAAGGGAAGTTTGGAGAGGGCTGATACATAAATCTTAGTGTGATTGGCTGTTACTCAAAGAGTTTGTGGTAAGTAAAATACTGTACAAAGCTTACATGTAAAGTAGTTTCTATGACATGGTTATATGGTCAAATGAGATAAAACAATAGGAAAAGGATCTGAGAAGCACAAGTGTGATATAAGGAGGAAGCCGAGTTCTTGGAGATAGTAAAGAGGAACACTAGACTCCTCCGCCAACAAAGAGAAAAAAAACGCACCACTTTTTTTTGTTTTTTTTGGGGCGCGGGGGGGCGGCGGGGGTGGGTTGGGGGGGGGTGAAGCATTGAGAGTTTAAGAAATAGAAAAAAAGGAAATCATGCAAAGGTAAGTGATGGAATCTTTTACAGATTTTATACTCCTGAATAATTGCTTTAGGGTTCACATGTGCTGATAAAATCATGTGAAAAATTACTTACTCATGATATCATAGTGGTCAAATATAATTACAGTTTTTCAATCCTATTGGAGGGGCATAGTGGCTCCAATCAGAGATGTCCATGAGTTAAGTGGACTCATGCTATTATTGAACTACAGGCTTAAATCAAACTAGTTCTATGAGACCAGTGAGATTAAATGAACAAATCCTTTGAGAAATTGAATATTAAGTGAATAATTTGAAAATAAGGTATTGTATGTATCAAAAGGCAGATTGTGTTAGCATATTAAATTAAACTATTTAATGCAAGAGATCTTGCAAGTTACAAGCACTTTCAAGTTTCAGCACTATATGAAGTTATTGGGATTACTTTGAAGTTTGCTTCCAGAGTTTTGACTTTTAACCTTATTCAATATATTGTGTTGACTTTGATTGAAAGGTGGCTCTCTTTTCGTGGTCATATGCTGTTAGGATGATTCTAATGACATCGTTGGTTTCTCTGTCTCCATTATATGTTACAATCAAACATGCACCTTTCAGGCAATTATATCTTGATGAGAACTTAATGTGATCCCAACCATTCCAAGGCCAGAATTTTGTAGGTTTCACGCTTGCTTGTTGAATTGCCCAACTGACTGGATGTTTCGTTACACCTTTTTTTCTGAGCAGTACTACTGCTTGCTTGTTTTGTGGAAGCACAAGTATGAAGAGCAAGTTACAGTCTAACTTTGGAGGATTGTTTATAGTTTTGGTGTTGTTTTCGGGTCAAAAGTAGAATGAAGTTGTCATTGTTCTATTGATTTGGAATGAAAATTACAACTGTTTGAATCCAAGTAAGATTCCTTGCTCTGTTGACAGCATGAACGTTCTAGTTGTTGTTGAGATTCGCTTCTTGATCGAGTTTGGTGGGAAGGTAGCTCCTCTCGATGAATAACTAAGACTTATCTTAAAGGGATTGCCGCATTTGATAAGTAAAAAAACAGGGCTTTAGCGGCAAGGCTATAGGGTGCCAACACAAGATCAAAATCAAGTGACAAGAGGCAGAAAGTGTTCGATCACAAGACTTTTGAACTGCAGCGTGAGGTTGAAGAGCTCGGGCAATTGGCAATAAGTGATGCAATAAATGAGCAAAACTATGGCCCTTGAAAAGTTGTAGGGGCTATATTTATAGCTTGAAAAAGTCTTCGTGGTGCACGGTTTAGCTCATGTGAGGTTTCTGATGTCATACAGTAATTTAATGCAGTGCAGCTCTTTATTGCTCACTATGGCGTACAGTCGTTAAGAGGGTGTTGTGCCAGTTAGGGCTGTGAGTTTTGATTAAATGTCATAAGACTATAACAGCTTTAGTCTCCCCGCGTCTTGGACTATAGCATATGCGGGGTTTTGAAAGTTCACTACTATTGGACTCATCATGCTGGTGCGGGGTTGCAATAACTCGTCACTCAAATGAACAATACCCTATTCTACAATGCATTAAATGCAGTTACGGCTATGAGTTTAGATTAAATGTGATAAGACTATAACACCTTTAGTCTCCCCGCGTCGTGGACATATGTTGGGTTTTGAAAGTCAATGACTCTTGGACTCATCATGCTGGTGCGGGGTTGCAACAACTCGTCACTCAAATGAATAGTACCCTATTCTACAATGCATTAAATGCAGTATCATTGGCGTTATATGTGATAGATTTGGGTAATATGACTTCTGATATAGGTCACCATCATATTGGTTTGTTGTCAATGTTACATTAAACGCTGGGCGCTTCTAGACGTCGGACTTGACGCCCAGCGCTTAGTCGCCTAGGCGAGCGCTTAAGCGATTTCTGGGCGTTTTTTTCCTTTTTTATTTTTTTAATTGTGATACTTGAAGATAAATATATATATACTCAATCAAAGATACATAAATACTAAAATATCAATACTATTAACTAAATTGCTTGGTTTACTAATTATAATAGCTCTTTGTATGTTTATACTTCTCAACTCAAATTATAAGTTCATCTCAACAGTGAAAAACTCATTCTTAACTTAAATTACTGCTAACTTATAAGTTACTGTTAAGTTTAAGTTAACAATAAACTTAAACTTAATTTTATTGTTAACTAAAATATTGTTAACTTAAGTTTACTGTTTACTTAAACTTAAGTTTACGATCAACAAAAAACTTAATATTAACTTAAACTTAAACTTAAACTTAAACTTAAGTTTACTGTTACGTTAAACTTAAGTTTAACTTAAACTTAAACTTAAACTTAAACTTAAGTTTACTGTTAACTTATACTTCTTAAGTTTAAGTTACTGTTGTTAACTAACTTAAATAGATATTTAAGAAGTACTTTTTACCTTGTTAGTAGTTACAGAGATCGGGGGAGCTCGACAATGTTACAGAAGATGCTAGGCAGACTAGACGTTTGAGCGAACGCCTAGTGCCTAGACCCCTGGTCATGCGCCCAGGTGTTTGACTATTTTTAAATTATTTGAAGTTAAACGTATCATAGGATCATCTTTAGAGGTTCAATGTTGAACATACCGCATTTAGGTTCAACCCGATTTGACCTGATGTAAGACGGGTCAGATTTGACCGGCTATAGTAGCGTGTCGTGAGTTTGGGATGGGTTGGGCCCAGCCCATGCAGGCCGACAACTCGCTCAACTAGACACGTCTCGTAGGCCATCTAATTAAGTTAAATTTTTACTACACAAACACTTTTGTTACAATTTGTTATAATCTCTTTTGTTATTGTACTTTTTAAACTAGTGGAGCAATTATTTACTGCTCGCGGACGTAGGAGCAATTATTTATTGCTCGCGGACGTAGCACTTGCTTCGAACCATGTTAAAGCTTTGTATTTACGATATTTTCCTCCGTCAATGTATACAAATATACAATTTTACTTCATAAAATTATTTTTTTCATTTCTTATAATGGTTAAATTGTGAGTTTGTTAATTCCATGCAATTTTTAAGTGTCAAACAATACTTAGAAAACTATTGCAAAATAAAAAAAATAAAAACCAAAAAACAGTGAGACAGGTGGGTCAGCCCATGATATGGCCTATCTTGCTTGTTCTTGAACCTGTGTGTGAGCTGAGCCGTCAAGGCCCAAAAACAAGCGACCGAATATGGAACACTGGTCCCGTTCGCCTCGCCATTGGGCCCGCATGAGCTCGCTCGCAAGACAAGTCATCACATCCTATTGTCCACCCCTATTTGGGCGGTCTAATGTAGGCAAGCTGGAGAGATCGTTTCGATAGGCAACCGTAAGACGAATACTGTGAACATTAACGATTGATAACCTTGATTGATGTGTATCATCGAGCATACCAAGAGTGCTCCATTTGGCGGTTCGTAGAATAGGCTAAGGCATCACTTCGAATGAGGTTATGCATATCTTGAATCACCTAATCTTCACAGTCTAATTGTCGCAACAGCTAGTGCTAAAGACTTCAACTTGTGGTCCATGTTTTCCTCTACTCACCTGATCACTTTTGGCCGCTAATCTCGAATCAGCCCCACAAGTGTCAACTTTTCTTAATCTAGGACAATAGCAAACTAGAATCCGCAAGCAAACTCATACTCATCATTTGATGATTTAATATATGACAAAAGTAATATCCATTGCTAGTCAACAATTACGATGTCCCCGGTAGCCTTGGAACATGTCCTCTAGGATTGGTAGTCAAAACCAGAGTCATAATATGAAGGGAGAGTTAAGGGTCGTACCCCCTGCTTAGTTCACTGCCACCACTAGCGTTGGTGATGTTGCACCTAATGTTGAAAATAACAAAGATGGATTATGTAACGCTTGACCTCCTGTTAAGAGTTAATGAAAAAACGTAAAAAAACATAATGTATAACGTAGGTTATATTATTTATTAATTATTTAGATGTTTTACAAATATTAACAATTCATAATAACTTTAATACTTAGAATATCAAACTTTTCAAACATAACATCACAAATATCAAAAATAAAAATATAGTATCATAATTTCTTAACAAAAGTTAGTCATATATAACTAACAACTATTCTAAAAAGCATCATCAAATGATCAAATACGTTAATGTTGTCAAGTTTAAGGCAATAAAAATAAGTCTACAATAAACCAAACACTTCCAACTCTCGAGTTCCTAACTTTACAAAAATATTCTAATTTCTAATCAAGTTCACTACATCAACCAAACTAAACATGATTATGTAACAACAATAAGAAATATTTTACATATACAGATTGTGTGCAAACTTAATTTTACAAAATCTAGTATTAGATTAAAACTAAAAACTAAAATCTAACCAAAATCAAGTAATAACTGAAAGTAATTATCTCACCAACACATTTAACCCACTAAGTAATCTCTGTACTCTAATTCTGTGACAGATTTTAAAAAATTATGTTGAAGGGTAAAATAATAGAGCAACAAACTTGATATGATTTAGGGTAAATTGGCAATAGAAAAGATTGTAATTGAGAAGATAATTTTAGAATCACTATTTTAGTTAAAAGATATAACCTGAGATGCCCAATACATAACTGATAAATAAAAAATTTACCTCACTGGAGTCGTAGAAGCCCGCCGATAGTCGGAGAACTTTCAGAGGAGGCAAAGAGTAAGAGTTTAAGTTGGAGGAGGCGAAGAGATCGCATATTCGTAGGAAGAGAACATGGGGATCGGGACTAAAAGGTGTAGGGTTTAAATAATTTGGACGGTAAATATGCATCCACGCATCCTAACTAAAGATGCAATTTAACCTTAAGAAAACTCATGTTAACAGGTTATATAATGTAACACACATTTAACGCAATATAACGTGTTTTTGTCTGGGTTAAACAATTTCGCATAAATAGGTATGTTACATAACAAGAGGGCACCGTTAGGCTACAAAACATGTTATAACGGGTTATACAACGAGTTTTTTCAACATTGGTTGCACTCATGGCCCGTCATATTAATTGTTGCAAACAACAATTTATCATCATCAATTTTGACGGCTCTCCTAATACAAGACCGTGTTTTCTTCCGAAGGGTTGAGATAAGACCTTAAGTTAACCAGCCGGTGACCGAGGTTTTTGGCAGTTGTTTATTGGGAGAACATGGTGGAACTATTAACATACCCCCCATGTGACAACAGAGGGTGCAACAATGTAGACAACCATTTATTAAATAGAAATGAAAGTCGAGTTGTGACTCTCAACCCCACATGTGTCTGGCTTTCGCTAAAAACTCCGGAGCTTCAACAATAGCTGAGGCTGATGACTTAACAGCAGTCATGTCATGCTTCGGCGCATGGTTACATCTGTTGTCTTGTCTCAGTGACTCGTAAGTCATTTGGTCAAACTCGATTGTGAAAGTCTCAACAATAGATCTAAGGGTGTGAAAATCATGTTGTGACACTAGCTCCTCAATAGTGAAGATGCACTCCCTAGTAGAGTCACCATTGTTCTTAGGACAAAAGAAGTAAATTCAAGTGTTTCAATTTGGATAGTTGTGCCGAAAAAGACTGGATTTCTTGTTCCATTGATCACGTGAATGTTCTTGTAGTTAACTTGCTGAGACCCGCTTCTTGATCGAGTTTGGTGTGAAGGGAGTTCCACTTGATGAAAAACTAAGATTTATCTTGGAGAGATCTCCTCGTTTGATAAGTAAGAAAATCGAGCTTTAGGAATAAGGCTATAGGGTGCTAACACGACGTTGCAATCAAGTGACAAGAGGTAAAAAATCTTGAATCACAAGATTTTTGAACTACAGCCCAAGTTGAAGAGCTCGGGCGGTTGGCAAGAAGCGCTGCAATAAATGAGTAAAATTAGAGCATTTGAACAGTTGGTAGAGGGGCTCTATTTATAGGCTGAAAAAGTCTTCGTTGCACGGGGTTCAGCTCATGCAGGGCTTCTGCCATCATATAGTAATTTAATGCAATGTAACACTTTACAATTCACTACAGCACATGGTCCCCAAGAGGGTGCTACATGCAATATTTTAGAAAGCCTCCACCTAGCCCACCTAAGCGCCCACCTAGGCCTAGGAAATGCCTAGGCTGTTTGCTTAGCACCTAGCGTTTAGGTGGTTCCTACGCTAGCACATGGATTTTGGCAGCGCCTAGGGAAGCATGGGCTGCTTACGTGGACTGCATTCTTTAGGCTTTAATCGTAATTTCCTCCATAGCAGCATCCATGTTCTCTAACCTCATTCAAACTCTACCAGCTTCTAACTATGAACACCTCTACCTTCTCCATTCTTCAGTAAAATCTTCTCCTCCACCACTTAACAAAGAAAAAAAAATCTGTCTAAGCGTCAATCTGATGCCTAAGCTTTCTATAATATAGGTATTTACTATTGTAATTAAAAAATAAAACCTAGGAAAACCGCTTAGGCCCCCCTAGGCTCTAGGCGTCGGGTCAAACGCATGGGCCGCCTAGCACTTTCTGTAACCTTGGCTACAAGCGATTATGACTGTCAGTTTACACTAAAATTTGATAAGACTGTAGCAGCTTTAATATCCCCGCACCTTGGACTATAGCACACACGGGGTTGTGGAGGTCAACGACTCCTGGACTTCATCATAATAGCATGGGGTTACAATTGTGTGCCACTCAAATGAAGAGAACCCCGTTCTGCATTGCATTAAATGCAGTACGTTGGTATTAAATGTGATAGATTTGGGTGATTTGACTTCTGACATAGGTCACCATCACATCAGCTTGTTGTCCTCGATAACCCCATGTCAGACGCGAGGTTATAAGTTATAACCATGAGCAGCTTTGAGCTGCGTGCTACTGTTGGCAATGTGTACTTTATCTGTCATGCGTAACTATATGCCACGCGCCTCTCGTAGCCATGCGCCGCTCATATCCGCGCCACAAGCTATTTCTTGTGTGGGTTTAACACTAATTTGTAGCTTGCTTTGACAAAGGATTTTGTAGCTTTGTATCCTTAGCCAATTTTGTGGACTATTTTGATTTTATTGAATCCATTGGTCATATTGAATGACCAAAATACCCTTGGTGGGCCCCACATTGTACTTGGTTAATCTTTGTTAAACAGTTTGCGTTTTTTACTGCCTACAGGTGTCTTTGTGAATGATTTATGATAGACTGTACAATAATAACTAAAGGGTGATATCTTCTGGTGCTGTACAGATGACCACAAACTATTCCGGAGTACAGTGGAAAATATTGGAACATGTAGAAAGTATAAACATCTTTTTGGAAGAGTATAAATTTGTATAATCTGACCCAAACAAAATATAGTTTATGTAATAATCAACAAATTCAGATTGGTGGTGTTAGAATCGAAGTGCTAAAGGAAACTTCACCCTTAAAAGGAAAAGAGTTCCATTTGATACAAGCCACTTCAAAAGAATAATGCATTAATGATACCTGCTGCCTGAAGGATTCAGCTTTATCAGCATTTCTAGCAAAGATAAGAAGACCAGAAACAAGGCGATCGAGACGATGAACAGCTATAAGAATACGCTGAGAGTCAAGGAGAAAGTAGAAATCCTCAAATAACCAAGCACAATTTGATTTTTGTAAAGCAGATGGCATTGCGGAGAAAAAAAAGTTACAGGTTAAAGTCAACTAATGGGGGTATATGGATACGAAATAGAGGTGCCAGGCCCTGTTCTGCTTGCAGGATGCCAACAATAGTATTTTTACGGTATTGTCCACATGGATGCACCTGCAAAAAATAAAGGATCAGGAATTTACATTCTACACATCAATAAAAAGATATAGTTCTACATGTGATTTTCCCTTCAAAAACAGAGTTGAATATTTTCGAACTCTTCAGATAGAAGGCATAAGTTGCAAAGGGAAAGGGAAAACGAATCAAGTATGTAGCGGTAAAATTATCTCCAGAGCAAAAACTAATATTCTCAATGAAGAGTAGTAGGTAATTTAGTTATGATCAAGTATGCTAGTATGTAACAAAAAGTGACTCAAACAAACATGCAGATTTACTCATCCAGTAGTCGAGAAAGTCCAGGACGAAAACCATTTCAAATTAGGAAATATGAGATGCTACCGTGACAACAAATTCCAAGTCATAACCCTACAATAAAAGCTAAATCTAAATTAATATTACATCAAAGGGTTCAAGTACTTCCCATTATCAGTGTCCATCATATAGTAAATGTCATAAAGAAGAAATATTGGGATTCACATGGACATCTGTCACGTGCTCCTCTTCCATTTCAGGGAATCACATCATGTAACCTAGCAAGTAACTAACCTATATAACATAGCATAAACTTGCAGTACATTTAGACATTATTCATCAGACTGCCAGATAAAATTAGTATCAAGGATTTTCCTTTTCTTCGCGAATATAAAAAACTTTTATAGTTTTTACATAAGACATTTAGTTTTAAAATTAGTTGTATGCGATACTTGATTAAGCATGCCAGACCTTTTCATTAATAGGAATGGTGGTGAAGAATCTGATTCCTTCAATCCTTCCCCACATTATCTTAGACAAGGATAAACGGCTACACACAGTAATCACATAACCAAATCATACCAAAATATTAGCTCTTCAATTTCTCTTTGGATTGTTCCATCTAATATCACCTAAGTTTTTGTTAGCATTGATCTGATTATTTCAATTATAGCATTACATGTTCACTAAGATGAGCAATGTAGCATCTTAGGATGTGGTCAAAACTCTAGAAAGCAACATTCATGAAGAGTGTGCTATATAGTTCCCATGAAAAAGTAACAGAAACTAGGGTAGACGCCAGGCTGCAAAATGTACCTTCATAAAAAAAGTATGGCGCATCTTTCAGAGAAAAAAAAATCCAGCTTTCTCTCCAAAAAGAATGGAGCATCAAGTATAAAATTGGATATAATAACATGAAATACCTAAGAGCACGATACATGATTTTCTGTTTCTAAAACTTGTGCTTAGTACCAAGTTCCACCATATTGCTTACACACACACACATATACAGATATATAAATATATGTATGTATACATACATATATATGTGTATATGTATATATATAGTGTATACACACACAAATATATACATATACATATATATATATATATACACATATATATGTACACACACATATACACATATAGATGCATGTGTATACATACATACTGATGTATATCTATATATACATACATATAACACACACACACACACACACACACACATATATATATATACACATACATAAAGATGTACATATAGATGGATATCTATATGTATATGCACGCGCGCACGCGCACACACACACACATATATAGATGTGTGTATACATACATATAGATGTATGTCTATATGTATATGCATACATGTGTGTGTACATATACATATAGATGTACATTTATATGTATATGTCAATGTTTTAAATGTCGAATGTCAGGTTCATATTGGACAACTAAAATTCATGTCGGATAACGAAAATCGGGGATATTATGTCGGGGGGAAAGAAAAAAATATCGGATTGTCATATTGGATGGTGTGCATGTGTAATATAAATATCATAAATAAAATCTAAACATACTTAATAAATTTATTGTCTAACCATAAAAAAATAAATAACTTATGATGCTTAGGGTTAATTTTGAAGGAAAGAGATGAGAAAAGAGGAGTCCAATGTTGACAGTAAAGGAGAGAGAAGATCACCCAATATTGATGTGAAAGGAACAGCTCAGAGAAGAGACCAATGAGATGTCGAAGGAAAGAGAGAAGAGAAGCGATAGAAAATAACTTCGGTCTTTTTTTTCCATTTCCCCTAACTGATGGGGCTCTATCTTTGGAAGCAACATTAAGACAATCAGAAATTTAAACACAAACCTGATTAGACAAACATAATTAAAAAAATCAGCAAACTTTTTAAACTGAAAAATCGGCCGACATAACCGACATGTCCCCCGACGTATTCGTCCGACATGTCCCCTGATATATCCGACATGAACCCTAAAAACGCAATACGTATTGAAAAGCTTCATATCCTGTTGGTTGGCCCCGAAATCCGACATGTTCGACATGACGGTTGGCATTTAAAACACTGATATGTATATGTACATACATATATATATGCATGTGTGTGTATGTGTATGTGTGTGTATATATATATATATATATATATATATATATATACATATATATATACACAATGTTACATTAAACGCTGGGCGCTTCTAGGCGTCGGACTTGACGCCCAGCGCTTGGTCGTCTAGGCGGGCGCCTAAGCGGTTTCTGAGCGTTTTTTTTTCTTTCTTTATTTAAGTAGTGGTCGATGAGGTTTTGCTGAAGGTTGGAGGAGCTAGTAAAGGTGTTCATATTTGGAGGTTAATGGAGTTTGGATGACGTGTAGGCTACGACATATAAAATCACAATCAAGGCCTACAGGGTACAATCCACGTAAACAGACAATGGTCCCCTAAACGCTCGTAAAATCTAGATGGGCAGCCTAAATACCGCCTAGGCGCTAGGCGCTAATTAGGCGGCCTAGGTACCGCCTAGACCTAGGCGTACGCTTAAGCGGACTAGGCGGAGGTTTTTTAAAACAGTGTATATATATATATATGAGAAATATGGAGAACATTGGTACCAAGTTTTTTCATTGAACTTGGTAGTGAGGTGGTCAAATCTAGCCCCTACATCATGCCTCGGAGATGGAGCCTCTTTTTTAAAGTAGGTGAATAGTAATTGAGGCTCTCTCTCCGAGGCATGATGTAGGGTCTTGATTTGGCCACCTCACTATCAAGTTCAATGGAGAAACTTGGTACCAAGGTTCTTCATATTTCTCTCTCTCTCTCTCTATATATATATATATATAGAGAGAGAGACAGAGAAATATGGGTATGTTTGGTACCAAGCATAAAAAGTTATGCTTGGTAGTGAGGTGTCAAATCCCCCTCCACTCATTCAAATGTGAGAACAAATTCACATAGGTAGTGAGTGAATGAGAATGTGACACATCACTACCAAGCACAAAATTTGTGCTTGGTACCAAACATACCCATATTTCTCATATATATACACACACACACACACACGTATATATATACATATATACACACACTGCATTGCACACTGATTATCAGTGAATCATATATAGCTAATATCATTGTTATCGAGGTGCGCGCCTCGGGCGCACCCTGGGCGCGGGGCGCTGTGGGCTGGGACAATTGCGCCCTGCACCAGAGGTGGGGCGCTGCACGCACACAAGGCGCGCACCTCACGTGCGCCTCGTGTGCGCCTCACGCGCACTCGACACATGTATCATGTAATAGACTCTTTCTTCTGTTTTTTTAAATAATTTACATATTACATATTTACATCATGTAATAAACTCTTTCTTGCTAGTTGCTAATCCATTTTCCATTTTTTCATGTTTAACCTATAAAAAGGAAACAGTAATTAGTAATTTAGTATACTTGTTTGCTAATTATAATTTTCTTCTCTAATTAGTATGCTAACTAGAAAACTATGAACATGTAAATATGTAATTGTTACCTCCATTTTCTATCTTTTCATGTTAACTAGCAAATAGCAATTAAGAATGCTAACTAGAAAATTATGAACAATCATGTTTGTTAATCACTTAATTGCTACTTAAAAATACATATATCATATTTTAAATGAAAATACATATTTCTTATTTGTTACTTGCTTGTTTTGTTTCATAGACTTTTGCTTATGTTGGAGATTATCTTGCATTGTAATTTGTGAAAACTTGTTAACTTCTCTATGTTATGCATGCTAATTAAGACTCTTTCGTGATTTAGTAAGTGAAATTATATTTTTTGTCTTTATATGTGACAATTTATAAACATGTTGCTTATATGCTTCTTTGTCTTATGTTGGAAAATATTAGTTTGAGTTGTGCGCCTCAATTCAATGAGGCGCGCGTATTGTGCGTCTTGCGCATGTAAGGGGCCTTTGCGCCCCGCATTACGCCTTGCACCTCAAAATAACACCGTGTATATACATATACATAGAGACGTACGTCTACATGTATGTACGTACGTACGTACGTATGTATGTATGTATATATATATATATATATATATAAATATATTAATATATATATATATATATATATATAATTATATATATACTTACTATTATATACATAATTGAACATGATAATATGCATGCATGATCGTATAGAATACATATACATGTGTGTGTGTGTGTATATATGATAACACAAACATCGAATATGTAATATATGTATGTACTATAACGGATATTGAACACACACACACACGACCACGACGACACCACACACACAATAATATACTATATATATATATATATATATATATATATATAATATTATGGATTCATGTACAGATATACATCTTAATGTATTGTACAATACACACATCTATTCCTTATTATATATATACACAATATAAACATATACATCCTCTATATGTACATCTATAGGTTTTTTTTTATTAATACATTTGTATATATAGAATATATTATATATATATATACTATATATTATATATATATATATATAATATACACACACCACATCTATGTGGGGTGGTAGTTATATACATATAGATGGTAGTATTTATATTCATTTTGTGATGTGCTGTGTATATATATATCTATAATACACATAACACATCTACTGTATGTGTGGTGTGTGTGTGTATATATTTAGATACACACAACAGCTATGTATGTGTCGGTTGTG